CTCCTGGCCAGCCCCACTCCCTCCGACCCCTCCCAACAGCCCTGCTTCCTCCCGGATGGTTTTCCTCCTCCCAATCTCCTCTGGCCAGCTCTGATCCCCCCAATCTCTCCCGGCCAGCCCTGCTGCCCCTGACCCTCCACCCCCACCTCATGCTTCTCCGGGACCATGCACAGGACAGGCAGCGCCCTGGGATCTGCATGTGCCCGAGTCAGTCCCGCTCCCCACCGGCCGATTCTCTCCCCTCCACGCTCCTCCTGGCCAGCCCCACTCCCTCCGACCCCTCCCAACAGCCCTGCTTCCTCCCGGATGGTTTTCCTCCTCCCAATCTCCTCTGGCCAGCTCTGATCCCCCCAATCTCTCCCGGCCAGCCCTCCTGCCCCTGACCCTCCACCCCCACCAGCCCTCCCTCCGATCTCCCCCGGCCAACCCTGCTGGCCCCGACCTCCCTGCCAGCTCTGCTTCCCGTCTCCCCCTCCTCTTGGCCAGCCCCGCTCTGCTCCCAGCCAGTGCCCCCCCACCCCCATCAAGTGTGTCCGGTATTTTTTCTGAAGCTACTTGGTAACTCTGTTCAGTTGTGGAAAGCTGAGGTCCGGGTGCAAGAAAGGTGCATGCAGTTAGCAAGACTGCACATGATTAGGCTCAGTGCCCAATGCCCTCCATTGCCTGATACGTGCATGGAACAGCATGCACGGTTTGGTTTGGTTTTGCCTTTGCCCTCTGATGTGGGAGCCTCCTGCATTGGATGTTACTGAATTATGCTGTACTGAGATTTTCATGGCGATTTTTCCCTCACGACCCTGAAGAGAGCCAGGGAGCAAAACACCAACCCTGTGAGGTATCCAGTCGGAGAAAGTGTCCTCCATACTACAGAAACATGGCTTTGGAGAACAGGGACCCATTGGGCTCGTAACTGGGGAAGCTGTAGCAGCTAGATTCCCCCTGTGCTGGGGTAACTACTTAAGGGGAGCCTCAAAGCCTTGTGGTAGTGCATTGCAGGCCAATTTATACACAGGAGAAAAGGGATGTAGTAAAAGTTGGATGATCATGAAATAGAATGCAAACCCAATGTGGGTCCCATGCTTCTGCGAGGCCCATTGTCTTCAAAGTGGGCAGGGAGTGTTCTCTTTTCAAATCACTTGCAGCACTCTCTCCCCCCATCATGCGCACGAGGGATGTAAAATCCCCTTTAACTAGGTAACCTATGTTAAGTTTAACTGGTTAACTGATTAAAAGGGGGCAAGCAAGGGGGCCGCTCATGCCTGCCTGGGCTGGAGCAGCCCTCCACTGCAGGCAGGGGCTGTTCCAGCTCAGATGCTTCCAGCCTCGCATGGGGCTGCTGGCTCCCAGCCTGTGTGGGGCTGGAAGTGGCAACCCCACATGGTAGTCTAATGGTGTAGTAAAATATAGTAAAAACTATGTGTGCTTCTTCCCCTTTCCATTACTTAAGCTTGAAACAGTACGTGTCATTTAGCCGATTGCGCATGTTTTAGAAGCTGTAGAGGAACTAGCTGTTTAGACCCATTTCTCAAGGACTGAAGTACACGTATTACTTGAGTTAGGGGAATTTGCTAATTGCTATTGCTTAAGTAAGCTATACTGGTGGTTGTTACTGAATGGAATAGAGTTGAAATATGCTAACCAATAACGCGGCAACACGAAGCTAAGGTAACAAATCAAGACGTGCCAAGTTAGATAAGAAAGTTAAAGAAAGTATAAAAAAGGATGCTTAGCCAACGCCCAGGGTCAGCTTTGCTTTGAGCAATAGCTCCTTGGCTGACCATTGCTTGCAAACAATAAAATGGAGTTGGACCCAGCCTGAAAGTGTGACTCTCTTCTGTGGGCAAATTAGACTGGCCTCCAGGGGATGAACCTTGCAATTTATGCAACAATGGGGCTGGAGCAGCCCTGCATTAAGGGTTAACCATGAAGGGTGATGCTTACCAGCTAACTGGTTACCCATTAACATCCCTAATGAGCCCCGGGACCTTGGGGTCATATAGACATGTCCTCAAAACCATGCTGGGGTTGTGAGGGCAGGGGGCTCACGGCTCTCCCACCAGTACGCGCCCATCCCATGGTGCCATCCAAATATCCAGTTCCCATTGGGTGGGATGCAGAGTGACCATCCCATGACTCACTGGCACACCCAGCTGTGAAAGCGATGGTAAGCTATATGGCATCCCGGCATGGAACGTGGCATAAGATGTGGGTGGATTTTACTAGCTGGAATGGCACATTCTGAGCATTCAGTGACATGGTCCCCTATAATTCAAAACAAGTAGTGTCATAGGTCCTAATTCTCCATGGACTGTATGCCTTCATGCGGTGGGGACCGGATTCAAAGGTCCTGTTCCAAAAGGGCAGACCCCCCTACTGCTTCTGCTAAAGGAGAATCTCTGTTAGGTAGCAGCAGTATAAGGTTTATGACTCACAGGTGAGCATCTCTGATTCTATCTGGTAGAGGTTGTGTGGGCACACACACGTGCTCTCTAACTCTCTCTTTCTCAGGGTATGTCTACACTACAGAGTTTTGTCGAAAAAACGGCCGTTTTTCTGACAAAACTTGAGGAATGTCCACACTGCAATTGCATTCTTCTGCAAGAAAATCAGAGGGGTTTTTCCAACATTTATAATCCTCATTCTACGAGGAAGAATGGACGCGATCTTTCGAAAAAGCAGATGGCTTTTTCGATGCACTTTTGCAGTGTGGACGCTCTCTTTCGGAAGAAGTTTTTTCTGAAGATCTCTTCCAAAAAAAGCTTTTTCTGAAAGAAGCCTGCAGTCTAGATGTAGCCATAGTTGTAAGATGTTACCGGCTGCTCCCCAGCCCCGTGAAACCAGGATAAAGGGGGAAATATTTAACTCTCCCTTTTCAGAACCCTTCTAGCCTACCCACAGGTGTTGTTCCTTGCAGAGCTGTGAGCGTGTGGATGAAGCTTTGCTCTATTTCATGGCAGTCTCTCTGTTAATGAGCCCCTCCCTTACCCTTTACGAAGATCAAGAGCTGGACTCTCTCAACTGCAGAGCAAAAATGCTGAGCTGGCCACCAGCTCCAGGGATTAAAGAAGCCGGACGCCCGTGCCTCCTGGGGCTTTGGTCTCACTCCGGTTGCCTGTTTAACATCCATGTAATTATTTATTTTGCTAAGAAGGGGAGAGGGGGTGAAATACCTTCCTCTGAGCAATGTCGTGTTGGCCGGCAGAGACCTCAGCAGCCTGCAGTTCTGAAAGCAGAGTTCCAGGCTGTCAGATCAGTTGGAGGAAATGGAGAATCTGGCTCCGTGCTATAGAGTTCTGTGGTTGCCGTGGTCGAGACGTTTTGGGCTGGGGCCAGGAAGGAAAAGGTGGTTTGCATCTGACTCCCCCTCGCCCCGTTCACCTCCTTTCACAACTGAATTTTGGGAAGTCAAAATAGTGCTTTCAAAGGCGCCACGATCCAGGGTGCACATTGCACCTCAGCTATTGGATTTGATTAGTCTTGGTTAATATAGAGCAGGGCTACTTAACACATGGCCCGCAGCCTGTTTGTTTGCAGCCCACAGTATGGTTTGGGTTTACGCGGAGCTCAATACACGGCCCATGGGATTCTTTGAACATCACCTCCATTGGGAACATGCTCCACAACGGCAAGTCAATATAATGGTCTTCTGTTGATACGCGTTTTAGTAGTTAAATTCCTGGACTGTCATTTCTCATTAAGGGTATGTCATTTCTCAGAGGGATGCAGATTAGGCAGGTCAACATTGCAAATGAGACAGAGATTTAAATATCCCATGCCTAATTTGCATAAAAATGGCCACCACGTTTTGCCGACTCAGCACTTTGTCGGCAAAAAGTGGCAGTTTAGAGGGGGATCTGTTGAGAAAGAAAGCCTTTTTCGACAGATCCTGTAAACCTCCATGCAGGAGGCATAATGATCCCTTATACACAGCCAGCCAGTAATGGTAGTCTTTACTTCAATGTAAGTAACTGAAGTCACCCTTATACCTTCTATCATCAAGGTAAAAGCAACCTGGGCCTTGGGATTTTGCCTTGAGACATCTATCTCAGTGTACAAACTAGAAATGTAATAGTGTCACTATTTAAACCGATAACCAAGAAGCACGAGCTTATCAGTTACTGTAAAGGTTGCATTCTGGCTCCTGGCCCTGCTCCTGGGGAGCCAGCTGCCACCCCACACTGCTGGCTCTGTATCAGAGACTGCAGCGTGGGGTGGCAGCCGGCTCCCTGGGAGTGGGGCTGGGAGCTGGGCAACAGCCAGGAGTAGGACCAGGAGCAGGCTGCTGCTCTGCGCTGCTGCCTCTGATATAGAGGAAAAGCCGGCTCCTGGCGTGCAGTGGCTCCCGGGGAGCCGGCTGCTGCCCAGTCTCTGCTGTGCAAAGCTTATAAGGCTCCCCGGGAGTGGGGCTGGGATCCGGGAGCTGGCTGCACTGCGGGTTCTGCAGACATTGTGTAACCGCTGAGATTTTTCATGGTTACCTAATTAACCGCTTTTTAGCATACCTCGTACAAACACTCCGCCTGAGGGCAGGTCTGCACCATACTAGGCACGGTGCAGCATAATGGACCGATCCTGGCCCACGGAGCACGCAGCGCAGAGGGAAATGCATTTTCAGGGGATAACTCAGAATACTTCTGTCTGAATCGAAGTTTGGAACCCACAGCGTCCAAGGGTTAGGAGTGCATTAGGCAGCCTCGCCCAAGGACTCTCCTCCACTCAGCCACCCTCCATCTGAAATCGCCACCATGGTCTGTTAATTTTGCCAGGGGATATGAGTGCCATTGAGATTCTGTGCCCTTCCTGCCTGGGGGCAGGTGAGCGCGCAAAGATTTCCAGACCACAAGGGGCTTGACTTTCCAGAAATGTTGGGTCGGTGGGGGCTGTGGTACTTGTGGGAGTCAGATGTGATATAAATGCGATGTCCTTGTAGCTAGGCCTTCTGTGAAGCAATAGCCAGCCTGCTGGTTCGCTGACCCTGTCTCTGTCCCTCTCCCTTGCAGGTGGCTGGTGGTGCAGTATGTCTTTGTTCCTAACCCCGGCATCCAGCAGGAAGTAGCAGCTGGTCCCTGGCACTTGTTCATTCCCCTGAGAGATGTCTGCGACCAGAGGCAATGGAGAGCACTGGAAGTCTTTGGAGTCCGTGGGGATCAGTCCGAAGGAGCTGGCTCTGGCGGAAGCCCTGCAGATGGAGTATGATGCTCTGTCCCGCCTGAGGCAGGACAAAGAGGAGAGTCAGGCCAAGCAAAATACTGACCGGCCTCTCATCTCCTGGGATGACCCGGCTCTGGATTACACCAAACCCGCGGTCAGGAACGACTGCCACAGCATCAAAATAATGCGAGGCCTCTCTGGCTCGGACCCCACCCTCAATTACAACTCCCCCTCGGTCCAAGGCAGTTCGAGGGCTCCTGGTACCAACAACACTACCTCATCGGTCCCGCCACCCGAGCCAGAGAACCAGCCTTGGCTGAAGTGCCCTCTTGCCAGTGACTACCTGTACATCTTCGATGGCTCGGGGGAAGACTTCCTCAGCGAGCCTCTCAATGGGACCTCGTGCCAAGATGGCTCCCCCAAGAAGCTCTCCCCTCCCCCGCTTCCCCCTCGGCTCTCCATCTGGAGCTCCTCTGAGGTGAATCACTCTTCCCTCAAAAGCTCCTCGCTACCCTACAAAGGGCCCCAGCCCAGAGACATCAACATGTTCTCCTCAGCCCACGAGCTGGCCGACGGAAAGCTGCTCGGCCGCAGGATCTCGGAGGAAGACCCCTACGGCACCATGGACTACGACGGCATCAACGACGCCATCACCCGCCTCAACTTGAAATCCACCTATGACACGGATCTGCTGAGAGATTCCACCTGGGGCTGGAAGGAAGGCAGGGGCATCTTCGAGAAGGAGACCACTGGAAAGCCAGTGGCTCGGAGCAAGACCATGCCACCCCAAGTCCCTCCCAGGACCTATGTCTCTAAGTTTGGCAACCGGAAGAACGCGGCGCCCAACAAGAACCGCAGGATCTCAGTGGATCCGGTAAGAAGTTTTTGGCTTTATTCTTAGAGGCTCGGTGGAGAGAAGCAGGCGTGAAGTCGCTAGCTTGCACCTAGGATGCTCCTACCCATTCACAACTGCCCTTTCTAAGCTTGACCGATAGGATTCAGTTGAGAGGGGGATATACCTCCATTCGCAGCCCCCTGGGTTGTCTTTGCTGCACTGTGAACCTGGGTCTGAGGGACACAGGCTGGTGGACTCGACGTTCCCAAGCATGTTTGAGATGTCTCCGTAACCCTGAGATGACAATTGCTGGAGCCGTGCTTGCGGCTGTTAGTCAAGACTGATTTGTGAGTGGGTGGAAACCAGGTTTGGGCTCGACGCCCAGTGTGTAGTGTAGACATACCCATAAGGGGCCCTGTCTCCTTCCACCACCACCTTAGAGGGGCGTGGGGCCAAGTTTCAGGTGTGCGAGGGAGGCTTTGCTGGACAGGAGACAGAGAAGACTCCCAAGGGCTGAAGGATTTGATAGGATTCCGCTTGCCGGGCTCCATGGAAGGAGGAGATTCTGGCTTGGCAGCTCAGGGCTCAGGACATGTCTGTGAACTAGTCCTGCACATAGCTGAGGCCAGGCCTACTAGAATAGCTTGCCAGGGAACAGATGCAATGCAGGCCAGCCAGGCAGGGAGGTGATGCATACCAGAGGAGTTGGCAGGTGGTCTTGCACAGAGGCAGCATGCATGCAAATAAATCTGTCTCTCTCTCGTATCCCTCTCTTTGTTCCCCGATTACTGTAAGGAAACCGGCTTTACCCTTGTATCATTCTGTGCTCTCTAATGTGGGGCCTACGCATCTTCGTTAAGGATGTCTGTGCATTGGCTTAGGCCCCCTTCCCTCCAGGCAGGAGGGGGTTTCTGCAAACACATTGCCCCAGAGGGGTTGGATCACGAGGCTGCCTTAACCCTCCTGGAGGGCACAGCAGAGTGAGGCAATCAGCTGTGGAGGCAGCAGAGGAGAAGACCTGCAAACCCCTTGACAGTCCAGTCGGCAGCCGGTTGTGAGATTGCTATGAAATGCTCCGCCCCGATGCTAGAGACCTCGTGCACAGCCCCCTCTTTCCAAGCACCGATTCTCTCTCTCCTTTCAGGAGGGTTGTCAGGTGTCCAGTATTGGCCTGGACAGTCCGGTATTTGTGGCCTCTGTCCGGTAAAAAAAACAGAAAATATCGGACATGTAAAATGTCCAGTATTTTCTGTTGTTCTCGGATGGAAGGACGCTTGGGACATTCTTCCCTTGCCGTGTCTGGCAGGGGCAGAGGGAGCACGGAGTGTTGGAATTTAAAGGCGCAGTGACTCTGTTTTTCTTCCTGCAGGTTTTTTTTTTTTGCCCCCCCCCCTCGTTTTTTTTTTTTGCTCAACAAGTTTGGTCTCCCCCCTCAACCAATTTTTCCCCCGCCATGTTTTATGAAAGTATCTGGCAACGCTACCTTTCAACTCAGGCAGCCTCTGGGCCTTACTAGGCAGATTCTGGGCATGACCACAGCCCCCAAGTGAATTTGCAGGTCTGGGGCAAGGAGTCTCAAATGCTTCCCTAGCGGGAATGGCAGCTAAACCAAGAGAAGGGCTCATGAATCCCTCCCTTTCCATGTGCCATCACCCACCTCCCTTGCCCTTTGCACTTGCATAACTCCCCCCGGGGAAGCTACAGCCCTTGCTGGAATCAGAAAGCAATAGCGGGAAGGTGTTTCCTACAGCTGAAAAGAAAGAAGAGGAGCCGCTCTCTACAATACACAGGTGCCTTGTGATACAGCGCAGGTCTGGTTTTCTGCCTTCTGCACCTGCTCTCCCCCCACCTCCATTGACCATTAGCGTTTGGGACCTTGGTTTTAAGACTCCGCTGTAAGTCTCCAGCACGCAGGCGTAGGATGCCTTTTAAAGTCGGCTCCGGCTCATTCCCTAATGATTAGGGTTGCTGCCCCAACCAAAAAAAAGCTGCTTTTGCCTTTCAAACCTGGAACAAAATCTGACCGTGGTCCTGCCCATATGTTCCGTTGGTGGGTGGCCTATTGCGGCACAGGCATCTATGGGCTTCCTTGAGTTACGGCCCTGGACAATGTAACTGTTTGTGCTGTTTATAAGGTCATGGGGAAAGCCCATGCTAAAAGTGGTGGCCAGTATAATAAGCCTTCACCAGCCAGGCAGGATCTGTGTCTCCAGCCCTGACTGTTCTAGCAGCTTGTGAAATGTCACAAGATCCTCGGGAAAGAAACTGGAGTCTCCTTGTAAGCAGCAATGTGGCTGCTCCCTGCTGGGGCGGAGAGGGACCAAAATAGCCTTTGGATCCTACCTTGCTTTCCTCCCCTTAAAATATAGATATGTTCCTCCCAATACTGTCCTAAGTAGCTTCCTGCTGCAAAGAGGGCAGCAGCACATTCCTTCCCATGGCTCTGTGGCTGAGCGCATGCCCTCCATACCCCAACACAGGGTATCAGCAGCTAATTAGGGAATGGGGGGTGGGAAGAATCCCTCTCGGAGGTGATACAGAGGACCATGCCTCCAGGAACGGAGGGATATATGTTCGAGCGAAGTCGCCTTCCCTGCAAAGTCCTGCAGGACTCCCCCCTCTCCTCCTTCAGTGAAAGATGCAGCTGGGGTCTGCTGGTGGGGGTTATGTAAGTGACTCTCTGTTTAATCGGCGCCAGAAACTAATTGTGAAGGAGCATTCAAATCGGCTTTAGCGGCGGTTGTGTTCTCTCCCTCCCTGTAGCTATTCTGGGGGTTAATTGCACGGACAGTGGGCCCATTGTGTGCTGAGACAGAGCGAGTGAGGCTCTTAGACCCGTGCACGCACAGCGCAAGACTGAGCATGGCACTCTGTGGGCTGCTGCATGCCCAGCTGGCATATGGGAGGGAGGGGGGATTTTAAACAGGTTGGGAGGGGGGGAGAAAAGGGAGATGTTCCTCTTGTTTCATTGTGTGAAGCACCAGCAAGTTTCTTTGTAAATTTCTGATGTTTTAATGTACTTTTTTTCTACTGAAATAAAGTGGTCTGGGGGCGGAGGGGGAGAGTATTGGGCTATTTATTGTCTGTTCCTGCCTCTGCCAGGGGCGCCTGAGTCTCCCTGGGCAAGTCACTTTGCCTCGTTCCCCCATCTTGTCTATTTAGATGATAAGCTCTTGAAAGCAGGGACTGTCTCTTGCTTTGTATATGTACAGCACCTGGCGCAAAGGAGCACCGGTCTTAGTTTGGGTGCTAGGCTTTACCGTGGTACAAATACTAATATGGGACTGTGGACTAGTCCCCACGAGGAAAGCAGCGAAAGCCTCATTGCTTGGCTCTTTTACAAGAAGACTAAGAGGTTGGCTTTAGTTCAAAGGAATTTAGGGGAAATTCTCTGGCCTGTGTTATACAGGAGGTCAGACTAGAGCAGAGGTGGTCAATCGGCCCATTGGGGTTCTATGTGTAGTCCGTGAGACATTTTGTTCACTGTTGGCCACACACAGGGTTGCCAGGTTCCGCTGGTTTCCATCCGTGTAGGTTTTTCTCCGGAAGGTGCGTGCTGGTTGCACACAACACTGGCTGTGAGAACCGCCCGCTCCCTGTGCAGCCAAGCACAGTGCTGCTACGGTTCAGTCGGCACCGCCCACAAATTCCAGGTACACAAGTACAAGTTAGCACAACTGTCCTAACAGTGGAGAGGAACTGTGTCTTGGATGCCCAGCTTGATGTAAGATAGCAGTGAAGACATAGCCCATGTGTGTTATGGGAGAAAGGGCTTAAGAAGCATCTCATGGTGACTTGGACGTGGGCTCTGTGAAGTGGGAAATTAGAGCCCTTCCACTCCATTGGCTGCTGTGTGCAGGAGCCTTGTGGCTACTATCTCTGCATCTCCCTCTCTTTTCCACGTTAGGTTGCCTCCCGGCCGCACTCCTTGGCGAACGGCTACGAGCTGTTTGAGGTTTCTGAGGAGCGGGACGAAGAGGTGGCTGCTTTCTGCCACATGCTGGATGTGTAAGTACCAGGGAGGGACTGAGAAGCATTGGAGCTGCCTTTCTGGGGTCTCCCATTAGCCAGCTTGACCTGCGGCACAGGGCCTTAACTCCGAGGTCTGTCAGTGCACAGGTGGCTGAAGTGCCTTGCAGGGGGTTAATTACCGTGGCTTAATTGATCCTGGGAGAAGGAAGACGAGCTTTGTTGTCTCCTCTGTGTGCGGTGCCTGGTGGCTAAGCAGTGGCAGGGGGGGGGGTGTGGGGAAGGGTCATTCCCAGGGTGCGAGCGATGAGACAACCAGCCTATTTGGGCTGGGCTGCAACCAGAATCTGCGGCAGGGCTCCAAGCAAAGGGGCAGAAGGGAGCGGGGGCGGTGCCCTGTTGGTGTCTGAGAGCTATAAACGGGGCTAGGGGGGGAGACAACGTAAGGATGCCCCTTTCTACTCTGTTCAACCCATTACGGCTGGGGGTGAGCGTGAGGAGATGGCAAATAGGTAAATATCTTCTTCACATGCTGGGCTCTCCCCCCTGACAAGGGACGTTGCCGCACGATATAGGTCAGGGAAGGAGGGGGAAGTGGGAGGAGGCAGGCCCATTGACGGGAGGGGGCCGGGGCCGGGCCTGGCAATTCAAAAAGGTCTGGGGCTCCCGGCAGCCACTGCTGCTTTTGTGACAGTGGTGGCAACCAGCACCCCAGGCCCTTTAAAGCGCTGGGTGGCGCATTCCGGGCGGCGCTGAGGATTGGCTGCCCCCAGCCCCGCCCCTTCTGCCTGAGGCCCCGCCCCTTCCAGGAGCTTGGAGTCACCCCCTCGCCCCACCTTGCCCAGAGTCCCAGCAAGTCTGTTGGTTCCCCAGGTCGCGGGACTTAGGCTCAGACTCCATTTAGGACTCTCTTAGGTGGATGTTTCCTGTCAGAAGCAAGTTGAAAGCACCAGCGTGAGCACACGGAGGCCAGCTGTCTGGCTAGCGCCCTGTCAGCTGGTTTCAAATCAATACTCATCATGAGATGGGTGATCCCTGCTGGCCATCTGCTTAGTCATTGCCAATCGCGCCATAGGCTTTGCAGCCTCAGGGCTGGAGTGGGAGGTGGCTTTGCAGGTTAGCTCAGAGAGGGCGTGCCCTGCATGAGGGCCGGATGCATAATGGGAGAAATGAAAAACGGGTGATGGTGGCTGGTTTCTCAGCTAGAGAGAGACGGGAGAGTCTCAGATGACTCCGAGCGACAGGCCTGAACCTCTTGGAGGAAGTTGGTGCTGATGGTGACAGAGAAAGAGGGGAGCAGGAGGACTTAGCTGGCATGGGCCCAAGGAGATGGAGCTCAATTCAGGCCATGTGAGGCTCCGGCTGCCCATGAGACACCTGGGAGGAGATGCGACGAGGAGTCCTCTGGCACCTTATAAACTAACAGATTTATTGGAGCATAAGCATCGGACGAAGTGGGTCTGTGCCCACGAAAGCTTATGCTCCAATAAATCTGCTAGTCTATGAGGTGCCACAGGACTCCTCATCGCTTTTGCAGATTCATACTAACACGGCTACCCCTCTGATACGGGGAGGAGATATCGTCGAGGCAGGCTGAAGTGCAGGACCGCAGGCAGGCAGGCGAGTTGGAAAAGGAGAGGGAGATGTGGGAATCACTGGTGAGGAGATGAGATCACTTGGAGCGAGGCTGTGAAGAGGGGAGAGGAGGCCAGGAGAAAGTCCTCTGCTGCCACTGTGGAAAGGGAGAGAATCCACCACGCAGTGAGAGAGAAAGCCCTTTGTGGGATAGGGAAGGGTCTCTAACGCCTCTTCTTTTCCCTCCCTTTCATCCTGCAGCTTGAGATCTGGCTACAGCGCCAAGGACTACTCCCTCACCGGCTTTGTCTGGAGCACGGTCAACCTCAGCCCTGAACAGCTGGGCCACGGCATCAGCCTCAAGGTGACAGTGGTGTGTGACGACGTGCAGGAACCGCTCACGTTCACCTGTGACTGTAAGTCCCCTCGGGGGTGGTACATGTGGGGCTCTCCGTCTCCACTTGTGAACATCCTTGTGCTGTGGGAGACACGTCCCTCCCTCACGTCCCCATAGCAACAAGGGGGCCAAGATGGCTGCCACACATAGCTAACGCGGTGGTGTCTTCTGCCTCATCTTGCAAATCCATCTTCCAGGTCCTATGGGATGGACGTGATCCTGGAGACAGCGACTCCTCTCCCGGAGGAGACGGAGCCTGTGTTGCCCCCATGGGAAGCTGTGTGCTAGAGACGGGCCCCATTTAAACCTTGGGTTCAGAATTTCTCAGTGTCCCCTTGAAATGGGGTGTGTCAGATGCTGCTCTGAGAAGGCCGGGGGAAGGGGAGGGTTGAAATCCAGGGGCCTTTACTCATTTTCAGTCACCATCACTGCAAGGTCTCTGATTCTCTTTTGAAGGCGATTGCCTAGATATGACTGAAGCCAGGATAAGCCTTAAATGACAGGCTTGATCCAATGCCGATTGAAGTTAATAGAAGTGGCTCCACTGTCTTCCGTGGCCGTCGGTGTGGTTTAGAGGCTGCTCAGCCATGAAGGGAGGGGGCACTGGGCAGGCAGTGTGCCCCTCCTCGCATGGCTCCATCTCCAGCCAGCTGGGAGCTGAGTCCCGGTCACTGACCAGAGAGACCCGAGGCTCACCCTGCTGGGTCTGTGTCCTCTCCCACAGGCTCCTCCACGGTGGACCTGCTCATCTACCAGACGCTGTGCTACACCTGCGACGAGTTGCTCGGCATTGATGTGGACGACTTTGTGCTCAAGCTCTGTGGCTTGGAGGAGTTCTTGCAAAAGTGAGTGAGCAAGCGGTAGCCAGGACACCCTCTGGTGTCGGGGGAGCTGTGGGTGATGGAGAGCTGTCAAATCCTTGCCATGCTATAGGCAGGAAAAAGGGAGTTCCCAAACACTGTCCTCTCTCCTCTCTTGCATGCTGTGATGGCGTGTTGGGGTCCCCCACCTCCTGTACCCCCCGAAATGGCACGAACAGACTCCACCAGCTGGTAGAACAGAGGGAGTTTATTGCCTCTCCAGAATACAGCACAGCACAGATGTCACCAGGTTACAGGGCAGGCCTAGGATGCCTCAGCTGCCCTTGATATGGGGGGGGGGTCCTTGGCTTCTAAACCCCTTCCTCCATGCTCCGAGACCAAAACTAACTCTCCTCCAGCCCTGCCCCCCAGCCAGAGCAGCATTCCACCTTCCTTTGTTTCTCCCCATGGGGGGTAGCTGGGCAGACAGGTTTGGAGCCCCCTTTGCATAACGACTCGTGTTACAGACAGCAGAGGTCACCCACAGCCCAGCATAGCAACGAACAAGGCACCCCCACCTCACTACGTCACACATGCCCACATGACGAGCCCCGGGTTTGCCCTCGTGCCCAGCGTCTCCCATTTTCCCCAGGGCAGTGCATCTGCTGAACAGGTCGGTGCCATGCAGCAGCTGGATTGATCTGCATGCAAATCAGAAGCCCCCTGGATTATTCCATTCCCTGCCTCCTGACATCACTGGGGACTCTCCTGCCAAGAAATGCGGGAGCCTTCTCCTCCTGCTGCAGGATATAAGTAACTCCCATTGACTCCAATGTTTGGAGAAAATTAGAGTGGCCAAGAAAAGCCCTTAAAATACGTATAAAACTCATGGTGACCCTCAGCAAAGTGGCTGGGGCAGGCAATCAAGTCAAGAGCATCATTTCTGGTGTTTCTTTTTTAAGTGGTAAGGAAGAGGTTGCCAGCGGCCACTGGTTGATCAGAGTAAAATGAAATTTGAAGGGGCAGAGGGAAGGGAATTGTGAAAAATCTTTGGTTTTCCCAAATTTTCCATCTGAAAATGTTTTGCTTTCATGGTGAATCTCCCCTCCCCGCTCCTTCCCCCCTCCCCACTTCCCTGCCCACAAAGGTGCTGGTGCTGCCTCTCATTGGGAAGCTGAACAATGTCGAACAAAATGCAAGTTTTTGCTTAAAAACAAATGAAAGAGAAGACTCCATGGAGGGGGAGGGGGAGGGGGAGATGTAATGGAAAAGGTCTGCCCAGTTGTGGTGTGAGCCTGTCTGACCTTTGAGGAAAACATGGGACCCCTGAAATGACCACAAAGGGCTTATCTCCATTAGAGGGGCAGGCCCATAAGAATGGAGGCCAGTAAAATGCAAGGACAAACAAAGCACAGGAGTAGGTCAGAGGGAAAACAAAAGCAGGAAGCCGTGGGGATGAAGGTGCCAAGAGATTGTAAGTTCTTTGGGGCAGGCACTGTCTCTGTTCTGTGTTTGTACAGCACAGTACGGGCCTCGGTTTCCTAGGTGCTGCAGAAATGCAGACAATACATATTCCGATGAGGGAAGGTACCAGGGTGACTGACACCCTCTGTATGTCCATAGGACCAGTGTGAATGCAAGGTTTCCCAAGCTGACATGTCTGTCCTGGTGGTGGCAGGTCTAGGAGGGAGATGTTCAGTCTCCGTGGCCCGTTTTGTCCTTGGGGTGGCCCGTTAGTACCCGCGGCTCGTTTTTTGATGTGGACACATGTCCTCTGGGAACTAGACTCAGACCCACCTTCTTGATCTCACATGGGCCACCAAACAGCCTTCAGTCTCTAGCAGGCCTTGACAATGAGGCTGTGGTGAAACCTTCTTGTGGTCCCCCCACTGGCTTTTTCCTTTGCTGTCCTTTTGCTTCTGCTGTCCTTGTGTTCTGGGCTCTGGGCAGCACAAGGCAGACAGTGGAGTACGGATGGGCCCAGTGAATGAGGTCACCTGACTTGTCATTCATAACTAGTAAGCATCATCTGGTGGGACTTTACCAGTGGCTTTAGTTTTGCCTCTTCAGAGCTTGTGGTGCAGGAATGATGACTGAGAACGCAAGCTGGGCAGTGAAACCCCCTTTTATCCAGGCTGGGCGGTCAGCGAACAGACTTTTAAACCGCATGGAGTCCTCAGCCGAGGCTGACTTGGAGCGAGCAGGCGACCAGATCCAAGGCAATAAACCGCCTAGCTCGGTTTGCTTTCCAGCATGGAAAGCCATGAAAGCTTTTCAGTCACAGGACTGTTTCCTGCATCTCTGCTGCCCTGGCAGACTGTCTGGTAGCTTTAACCACAGGCTGGCTTGCTTTGCAGTGTACGTATGTAAATGGTTTAGCGGGCTAAGTCTCAGGTTTGGCATGACTAGGCTCCCTGAAACCACAGGTCTCGGTCCCAAAAGGGTCGGCTCAGCCTTTCAGGCTTCCCAGGGAGAGGAATCACGTTCAACTGTGGTCCTTGTCTGCCGCCCCTCGGCACTAAATATCAGCTGGTGCTTTTGGGAATTGTGGCCATTTGCCCTGGTACAAACTCCCCCGCCCTGCTTTTTGACGTTTCCTCCACCCCAGAGGTTGCTGCATTTCATGGGAAGAGGGGGACGTCTTTTTTTGCCGATGATCTATATGGAAAGTTCCTCTTAGGATGAAAGGTGTTCTCTGGATGCAAAATGTAACATATCTGGCCAAATAAAGCGTCTCCTGGAAATGACACAGAATCAGCCAGAACAAGCTGCCCTAAGGATGTGACCCTGCGTCACACAAAGTCTTTGCAGTTGACTTGACTAGCCACAGAATTAGGTCCTAAAGGGGCAACTGGGAAGTTGCCCTCATGCAGGGGAATCTCTTTGTTGGCTCCATTCCCCTCTCTCTGCAGAAAAGGCACAATTAGGATTGGGCAGGGAGTGAGGCTGTCCAGCAAGTCTTGCTCCTCTAGCGGAATGGCCCTGGTGGCTCCAGCCCTTTAAAGAAGCCCTTTCATCTTAGAGCAGGGATGGGCAAGCTATGGCCCAGGAGCCGGATGTGGCCTGCCAAGTCTTTCAATCTGGCCCAAGGCCTGTCCCACTGGACCCACAGGCCGGGGGCAGCCCCAGGGCTCAGAGCGGCTGGCTGCTCCATCTGCCTCTCTGCGCTGCCGGGAGAGGGACGCTGTGTACACCGCGAACCCCCTCCTCCACCCAAACTCCCTCTCAGACCCCTCTCCCTCTCCTGCACCCCAGCCCCGAGCTCCCTTGTGCACCCAACCTCCATCCCATACTGTGCACCCCCTCCATAGAAAAGCAGGGCCCTTGACCACTTACCAAAATTTTGGGAGTGCCCTTCCCCCCCATCCAAAAAGATTGCCCACTGCTGTCTTAGAGTCACCTTTACCTGCTTTCCATCTGCTCCCAGCTCATGCGCAGCTGAGGAATAATCTATTAGTGTGTGTATTTTAGAGAGGGCGGTGTGCAAACCATACATACTAAGTAGCCATATTTATCAATGCATTTCAATAGATATCTATGCGACCTACATAGAAACGCTCTTCTGATTTCCATTGCAACTGGGATGGTTTGCTGGAAACGCCTGTCTCCTGGGGGAGTCTGGCTATCGTCAAGGGGAAAACTGCCAGCTGAGAACTGGCAGGACCATTCCAGCCTCTGAACTTGGGGACCAAATGAGCTGCAAATCCTCATTAGCCGCTGGGCTTTTTCAACCGATGCTGTCATCGTCAGCGGAAAAACTGCCTCCCTTTGCATATAATGTGCCTTAACCAGAAACAGCCTCCCTCTGGAAAAGTAATTCACATCAGATGAGGAAATAATACTCCCAACTTGTCATCTGCAGGCTCCTCCTGAGCTATTTTTTGAAGGGATCTGGTGTACGGTTACAAAGAGAGGAGAGAGATTCTTCTCCCAGACTTTCCCCCAAAGCAAAGACTGATTGTAGCGGGTGGCAGAGAGAGGTGATGGTGGAAACTTCTTCACAAGCACAAGAGGGTATCTGATGTCAACTGGGCTTCAGGGAGGGAAGAGGAATAGTTTTTGTGGTTAAGGCACAGAGCTAGAACTCAGGGAGTGGGATTCTAATTCCTGACTCTGCCACTGCCTCACTCCTTGCATAACCTTGGGCAAGTCACTTCATCTCTTTCTGAGCTTCAGTTCCCTCTCTATGAAATATCTTCTTCCTCCTATCCTTTGTCTGTTTAGATTGTGCACTCTTCAAGACTGTTACATATCTCCATGGTATCTTATAAGTGCTAACAAATGGATTGCTTGATTACTTGCTCCATTGTCTTTCCAGACACCTAAGTTAAGATGATTGGTCTAGGATTCCCTGGGTTAGCCTTATTCCCCTGTTTATAGACAGACACTTTTTTTGTCCTTTTCCAGTCCTCTGGGATCTCTCCTGACCCCAAGTTCTCAGAGACAATCTCTAATGGCTCACAGAGCTCTTCAGCCAGTCCCTGGAGTATTCTGGGATGTATTTTACCAATTTAAAGCCATCTCACTTGTCTCAATCACTCTTAGCTTGTTCTGTCTCTATTTTAGCCTCCATTTACACTGGTGTTAGTCGTCCCATCACTGCTAATCTTTTTGGTGAAAACTGAAAGAAGCAGTGACTTCTTGTAGGGCCGAGTGCCGGCAGGAGGTGAGCCGGGAGTGAACTGGATTAAAAATCCTCCCCCTGGGACCACGGTCTAGACACTTCTGCCCCGGCAACTGCGGTCACCACTTCCCACCCAGGCCTTGGGCTCCCACTGCAGATGCAGTCTCAGCCCTTCCCCATCTCCTGCCCTTCCCTGGCTGTGCTGTGGCAGTTGCCTCAGCTCCGTGCAGGATGCAGGCTGCGCT